GTACGAGCGGTTCCATAAAATCGAATCAAAACATTTTATTTTATTTTTTATCCATTGACGCGGCATCAACATCACACAATCAACATAATATCTCAATTGATTTCTTCAAAAAAAAATTCATTCTCGATTCGATTTGAGACAATGAAGTTCATCGAGTGTAGAAGGAGAAGACAAAAAAAAGAGTCTTTTGTTGTGACTTGTTTTGATTTTGCGGTACGAGGGCATCACAGTACAGCCCCACGCATTATTGTATCATGCTTTATTATAGCATAGCAAAAAAAAAGGAACGAGACTCGTGAAAAAAGGCACAAAAACATAATTTCTTCATCATCATCCATTTCTACAGTTGTTTTGTTTGTGAATCTCACTCTCGATTCGATTGTTGTGTGCTGTGTGTTAAAAGAATTATGAGCGATTGAATTGAATCGAATTGAATGTATGTTTTGTTGCCTTTTTTCTTCTCCTTACAATAGCAATCATAAATACTGAAAAACTCTTATTTTTTTTTTGCTCTTTTCATTCCTTTATGTTACATCTCAAAAAAAAACATAAAGAAATCACCACACACAATGAGCAACAATATGTGCAAGAACACTGACTGCATGATATGCTTTATGAGATTTTATGAGGCACTGTTGTGCATGCTGTAACGAAACGCGAGTCGCGTGGCGTGGGTGACTCCTCCAAAAAAAAAAATGTATAGAATGATGTTACACGATTAACAAGCATCATATAACACACTCATGATGCGCTCGATGAAAAATGATGAGCTTGATCGCGCTAGTAAGATTCTTTTTTATGATCACGATTTTTTTCATACTTTTTAATTTGACGATAGTGAATATCTGCTTATAATTAATTTTTATAATATACTGAATGAGTGATTTCAACCATATGAGACGTTGATGATGAAGCTCCAAGAAATAACACACGTTTTTTAATTAAGAATGCAAGCTGCTTGTCAATTTGTTGCAGTCATTATAGATTTAATTAATTATTAAGTTAATTTATTGGATGATTGTTGTGCAAAGTGTGTTTATACTTATTAAGTATTGTGAAATGTTTTACCTCAGATTTTATAAGGAAACGTGGAACAAGGTATGGCAATTGATGGGGATAGTTGTGAGATTATAAAAGTTTGAATTGTTGGAGCACCAATGCACTACTAGAAAATAATAATAATAATGTTTAAAGGGCTCAGCCTTACAGCTGAAGGCACTTAGATTCAATTTTACTAGATAATAAAACTAGATGATTCTACTTTGTAATACTACTAAGTTGTCCTACTAAGTTATACTATTAGGTTATAGTACGTTATACCAGTGATGGTCAAACAACGTGACGTTGCGCACTCGAAAAATTCTGGAAATCCCATGCCGTGTGCGATTTTGGTCATTACTAATCATTAGGTTGTGCCGTGATACGAAAAGGGTTGGTTTCACTTTTAGGTTTTCCTTATTGTAGTTTACTTCTAGATTGTACTTATTAGGTTTTACAACTAGATTTTTCTACGAAGCTTGGCTACTGTGTTGTCTTTACTATATTTATCTACTAGATTATACTACTAGGCAGGGTGGGGAGTTAACTCAAAACTCAAATTCAAACTCATTTTCCGATGAGTTTTGAAATGACTTTGAGTTAAAATTCCGTTACAAAATGAGTTTGAAAATGAATTTGAATTTAACTCATTTTTGAAAATTAGTTATTTTTTGAGTTTGAGTTTAAACTCATTTTTCAAATTGAGTTGGAAAATGAATTTGAATTTAAATTAAGTGGAGTTTTGAATTGGAGTTTTAAAAACTCCCTAAATTCCTTTTAATATAAAATTCATCTCTGAAACTCTCGCATTTTTTATGAGTTGCCACTTTTGCCTGAATTTCTCGAAAGGATCATTCCATAATTCTTGCTGATATGACTTGCTGCATATTTTGGATGTTTTGGTTGCAATTCTGTTCAGAATTTTTGGAAGACATTGAAGAAATAAGAGTTTATAGATTTGAGGAAATGACTGGATGACAAAAATGTTCATGTATTTGCTGTACATTTTATTACTGGATCTTTTGGTTCCAAATGTTTGGAATAAAAATTATAGTAAGCAATGATTTTGAGAACTTTCACAAAAAAGTGTTCATTATGCGATTCAGAGTTGCGAAACAGGCACCTGTGACAGGTGAGAACCCTACAATTCCTTCTTCTTCTTCTTCTTCTTTTTAATTAACTTTATTATGGTCCATCAGCTCAATGCTATTTAAAGACCGTTCACAATTCCAGGTAGTTCAATTTACAAATATACACAAAGAAAAATCAAATTTTTGTTATGTCTCGATTGTGATCTGTAATTAATATGTTCTGCTGTATTCCGAGATGATCGAGTCAGCACCAATTGATTGATAGAACTTGCCCGCGATATATGGGGAAACACACAAAACCCATCGCGAGACAAATTCTCCTCACAATTGACGATAATCCGTTGTATTCCAATAATATTCAATATGTCTAGGTTATGGTTATGATAGAACCTTCTTGTCCACGATTGTTGGTAAAACACAAAAAACCCACGTGAAACAATTGATTCTCCTCACAACTGCCGCCGATCTTGATTTGTCAATGTAATTAAATGTTCTTTGGTATTCCGATGATGATCAATTCCATTTTATATTTTGTATTGGTTATGTGCAAAAATTTGCACCTTTTATGTTCAATTCCAAAGTTTCTCCAAATTTTTTGAGTTTTCTCCTTTGTTAATCTGTTCCTTAGTTATTTGTATGCACTTTAAACTATATTTGCTGTCTGGTTCCTACGCGTAAATAATTAAATTATGGAAAATTGACAATTCCACAACCTCGTTGTTCGGAGGTCGGGAGAAAACTGCCCTTGAACGGTTCTCACCTGTCACAGGTGGCTTGTTACGCAACTCTAATGCGATTCATTCACTTACTGTGCCATTATGGCTTTAGAAAAAGATGTCCGCGTAACTGGAAATGATCATTCATGACTGGATGTAGCTGCATATGAAGATCCGATCACTTCCAATGCTTTAAAAACTTTTTTTCAGCAATTTTCAGCAACCAAGTGTTCCAAATTGTTTTAAAAAACACAGAGGATCCATAGGCATTGGAACAGCCTGGTTCCATTACATCCATAAAAAAATTTTCTGTTCCATTTTCATCAAGGAATTACCTCCTGTAACAAAAAATTTTTTTGAGGAACCGACCAGTTCCTTTGGTGCTTGAAGACTGAAAATGCTCAGAAATAGTGCTTCATGCTAAATGACTTCATATTTAGCATTTTCATTCATATTTAGCATTTTTTGATCCTTTCGAGAAATTCAGGCAAAAGTGGCAACTCATAAAAAATCGTCGAGATTTTCAGAGATGAATTTTAAATGAAAAGGAATTTAGGGAGTTTTTAAAACTCCAATTCAAAACTCCACTCAATTTTCCAGATGAGTTTAAACTCAAATTCTTTTTTCAACTCCTTTTGAAAATGAGTTTAAACTCAAATTCATTTTTCAACTCATTTTGAAAATTAATTTAAACTCAAACTCAAAAAAAAACTCATTTTCAAAAATGAGTTAAATTCAAATTCATTTTGTAACGGAATTTTAACTCAAATTCACTTTTTGAATTTTGAATTGTGAGTTAACTCATGAAATTCTCCCCACCCTGCTACTAGGTGATACTACTAGGCTGTTCCCCAAATCACTAGGGTGTATTTAGCAACCGACACATAATATATTTAAAATCTTGGATTAAAAATTAAATTAAGTTTAGATTACAAAAATTGAAAAATCTCATTAGGAGCTTTTAAATAAGACAATTGAATTTACAATCATCAATATTGTCAATAATAATTTACATTTTAATTAAATTAAATCAGTACAATAACGTTTAAGAAACGTCAAATCATTTATCAATAAATGTTTATGGAATTGTTTTTAATAAACGTCATTTCATTTTCAATAATTTTCAATTTTTTTCTGGTTCAATTACATTACATTCAGTAATGACGGTAATTTATTAACAATAAATAAAGACAAGTCCAATAATTCTCAATTCTACGACTAGTTCAATAAAATCATTTAATTAACCACTAATTTGTAAGACGCACATGCACTAGTGTAGCTACAAAATGCAACTTTTTAATAAATTAAATTAATTTAAACATTTTTTACGCAATTTGTTGTGCTTTTTGCTGTTGTCTTCCTTCATTAATTTCACGGTTTGACGCCCCGTGAATCGCAATGTGCGAATGTTAAAATGTGCAATATTGTCAAATGGAGAGAAAATGACAACAATTAATTGAAATGTTTAAAATGTTGCAGTCAGATAATAAGCATATAAATACTAAGTGCAGTTAATTAATTAATTGAGTGGTTTTATGTGCCTTAAGATGAGTCATAAATTTGAAACGAGATTTCTCTTGACTTAATAATTGAATGAAGATATATACCGATGAATGGAGAAGAGATTGCTGTTAAGTATAGACGATGGAGTGAATTTTGCAATTTTATTTTAATTAAGATGCTTAATAGTCAAAACAGTAGCCTGAGAGGTTGACTTATTGACGTTATGACTGTAATTAGTGCTAATGACAGGTATAGCTCCTTTCAAAATCCCTATATAGCTACACCCTTATATACTATTAACCCATTAGTCCTCAAAAAGCTACCAACCTAGGTTCAACTTATCAAAATCCATTCCACAACCCAACATGTGGCTTATAACTTTGTTTACAGCTTCATCTTATGTTTATACTATGATTACAAATTATATCACAGCGACCTTGTTCCGTGTTAGTTGTAAAAATTGTGACTTTATCTAATTAAGCTGTAGTTTATGTGAAATTTCAAGAAAAATGTGTTTATAGCTAAATAAAGATAAGAATGTCTAGTAAAATATTGTTGATGATGATTAGATGACAAGTTACATACGCAAAAATATTTGGAAAATATAAATAAGGCAATCTTGGTTTGCTGCTAGTAGTTTAGTATTAGAAGTCGAAGGGTTCTAACATAAAAGTATGAAGTTACTAGTTCTTCTGTTAATTGCCGAAATTTCAATAAGTTTTGGTCTTGAATTCCATTGCGAGTTCAAGTTTAGTCAAAATTATGGATTAATCGGTTCAGTTTATCAATGCAAGACATCCAATCCAAATTTTGGATTATCAGATCCAGTTCTGTATAAAATATCTGGAAATCCAACAACTGGATTTACTCATAGAGATGTGAAATTAGTAGAAATTGATGGCGCTGAGAATCTTATTTATATTCCACAAGATATGTCCAATCCAGGACTATTTCCTAACCTGATTGCATTAAAAATGTCCAATACTGGCTTAAAGCATCTCTCAGGAACTCAATTGAATGACTACAGAAATTTAATGTGGCTGTCGTTGAGTTACAATCAAATTATTGAAGTTCCTGATAATTTCTTCCAATTCACAACAAATTTAAGATTCATTGACTTCAATTCAAACAGCATATCAATTGTTGGATTTGATGCATTGAGTCCAATCAATCACCAGACATTGGTTTATGTTGGATTCAAGAACAACACTTGCATTGACAAGGAATACTCGCCAATGGATGGAAACTTTTACAGCTTCTTGTATGATTTGCAATACGATTGTCAGTTTATCGAAACCACACCTATTCCAACAACTTCTATATTGCCTCCAACAGAACCTCCAACCTATCCTCCACCCACATTCATCCCTACAAACCCAACACCATCGACAACTGCCTCACCAAACTGTCAGAATGTGGATATTGGAGAAGAAGTTTGCAAATTGAATCATGAAATCAGGAATTTGGCACAAGTTATTGAAAAACGTGACCAGGTTTTCCAAAAATATGAAGATGTGCTTCTTTATGTCCAGGAAACATTAAAGAATATTAATAAGTTGCTCAATAATAAATTCAGTCTGACTGGATTTAGTGATTGAAGGATATGGCTGATTAAATTGAATATGAGTGCCTTTAAATATGAAATTATTGTAAATATGAAGTCTGATTAAATTTTGATCTTTAAAATAATTTGTTGAATTTTAATTAACTGATTGTGGATCGTAAATAGTATTTGGTCCGAGTAGCACATTATCACAATGGAAATTCTATGTCAAAGTTGTCGCTAATCGCCATACCTTTGATTGCGGTTTCAAAAAGATAAAAGTTCAAATTTAAAACTTACCAAATTGTTAAAGTCTTATTGTTGTAGTTTCAGGTCTATCTTAGGTCTGTATTTTGAGTAATTTCAATTTCTGCAAGACCGTGCTGCTTTGTGGTCGAAAATTCATATAAAACTGCAAATACTCAAATTTTTTTATTAATTGTTTGATTTCCAGCAATTCCTTCATTTAGAACACTTACCAATGATTCACAAAGCACAGCTGGTTATTCCTCTAATAGAAATGATTCCAATTCCAACTGAAAATAGATTAACACTGTCACAAAAATTCAACAATGACTCAAATTTATTATAAATTCCAAAGCCTCATAAGATTAAACGAACAGGTTATTTTGAAACCCTTTAAAAACTCATTAACATATCTCCATTTCCTAAATTTCTTTGCTAAAATAAAAATATTTGTCTTTATGTGGCTATAAAAAACTTTACTACCCAAAATGCGAAAATTGAGATATTCAGCAGATCTAAGCAATTAACTGTGGCTTAAACCATCAACATTTTTGTAACCAGATATATTATCCTGCAATATTTTAGCACTAAGATCCATTGATGTCTCCGGCGCGTGGACTAGCTGCTTAATATCTCGCTGATTACTAATTCTCTTTTATTTCATAAAATCCTCAGTTTCCGATTCAAAAGAAACTCTCGGGAAACAAATTAAAGCAAATTTTCGTCATCATTAAATAACAATAAAAGTTTTTTACGAGGATGATTTTTAATCTTCTTACTGAAATTGACAGCATTAAATAATAATAGACGGATCATCATTATCAAAAAATTTCTCTATTTTTCCTATCCTATTCTTCCAAAGATTAATCGCACCTCATTTACAGTCAAATGATTACATGTTTGTCATATCACTGTTGGGCTATTGGCTCCCATTGAAGCTTCTTGTTGTGGCTTAGAATGATTATATCATTTTCTTGAAATGACATTCAATTAGTCACTATGAAATTCGTTGGATATCAATTTTTTTATAGCTTTATAGAACGTGTGATTCAAAATAAATTTGTTTGATATTTTTAGAAAAGTTTCATGTTTCATAAGAGTTTATCGGAAATTCCAAATATTAATGGGATCATTTTAAGTGATGAGGTTGAATTTTTATAAGTTGCTTGTTCATTGAGCTGCAAATCTGCCTTACTTATTCCAAAGAAAATAATAAGATACATTGAGATCAGCAATTAAGAAAAGACTTTAAATTTTTTGATTATTCCAGGAATTCATAAATGACGTCCATCAATACAAATAAGCAGAGGTCGAAGCGAACTTGGTTCGCCAAGTTCGCTTCGCTAAAAATTCAACTTGCCAAAGTCGAACTGTAGCGAGAAAAAATTTTTTCTATTCGCCTTAGCGAACCATAGCGAACTCAATTTTATTTTTTTCGCTTTAGCGAACTATTAGCGAACTTAATTTTTCAAAGTTCGCTATAGCGAACTATTGGCGAACTATAATTTTTTGCAATTTTATATGAAATTACATACTTCACAAATGCAATCAGACATCTCTTAATATGAAGCCAAAAAAATTTTTCTAGTTCGCCAATAGTTCGCTATAGCGAACTTTGAAAAATTAAGTTCGCTAATAGTTCGCTAAAGCGAAAAAAATAAAATTGAGTTCGCTATAGTTCGCTTAGGCGAAAAGATTCTGAAAGACTGATTCAAATATCAAATGAGGTCGGTTGCATAGCAAACAATAGTGTGTACAAAGCCAAAGCCCTGAGGATTCTCTTGGCGAATATCAACAGCAACAATAGCACTTCTATTGTATCAAAGTAGAGTGGAAACTTAAGTATCAAACCAGACGTAAGTGAATTTTCCAGTTCTAGTAAAACGTTCTTTATAATCAAGTTAGTTCTTGGTTCTTCCCGAACAGCACAAGTTGGTTGATCGAATAGAAATTCGGCTCCAAGCTTACATGATTCTGACATGATGCTGGATACGATTTAAATTCAGGACGATGCGAGAGTCACACCGGCTTGATGCCAGATTTTTGATGGATTAATCTGGGCTTTATTCTTAGTTCTTGGTTCATGGTTCTTGGTTCTTGTTATTTGGTTCTTGGTTCTTAGTTCTTACCAGAACTCGAAGTCGACTCGAGACTTTCATTGATTTTGTATGGCAAAGTCGACTCCATACAAAATTTCATCGACTTCAAGCTCTAGTTCGTACACTTAGTTTTTAAACTAAGAATCGAGAGTCAAGAACCAAGATTTACGGTTCCATCAAACGACCGGATTTCTCAAACTTTTTTAAGTAAGGACGTAGTTCTGATTTCCACCAGAATCTGATCTTTTTCTTATTGTATGATATCAATATCAACTTGTTCCAAGCTATTTAAACTTTGCATGTAGAACAACCCCAAAATCATCTTCAAATCTTAAATTTAATTCCACAAAATTAATCAAACATTCCAAAACGAAATAGTCAAGTCCACATTTAAAAATCATTAGAGAACTTTAAGTAGTCACCATAATTCATCACAATCGTCTTAAATTTTAAGAATCAATATCTTTTTTTTTTTTGGAAAGTCTTCGAAAATTAATTTTAATCTACTTATATCATTCAAAATGCATAAAACCCGACTTGATGATGATGATCAAGTCACTAAGTAGCATCGCCCAAGAAAACAATTAAATTTCCATAAAGATTTAGAGTTTAATGACATCACCGAGATAAGTATGGTAAGTCTTCAATTAATTAAAAGAATTTATTTTCCAGAAATAACAAAACAAAAGAATTTTTTGCTCATTTTGCCATAATTTTAATACATACCGAACTAATCTTCAATGAGCGCATCTCGCTCCTTTCTGTGATATACGCGGAAGAAAAGAAAAAAATCCATTGAATTGAATTGGGAAGAAGTAGTCCATATAATTTTACGTTCAATTAGATGAAGGAAGGTCAGATAATAGCAGTGATTACGCGTACGAGAGCAATAGATGCGCTGAAATCCAATTGTTTCAGGGATGTGCCTTATGGTAATGTACAGTAGCAATTTTATGGATTATCAGCCCATTTTAATCAGCCCTGAATTTAGCATCATTTTCAATTCATTTAACAAAGATTCCTTACGGCAACAAAGCACACAATTTTTTTAATCTTATTCGAATACAGCAACAAAAAAGAGATTTGAAAGGATTTAACCGCTTGCGCATTATTGTATGTAAATTATTGTTTTTTTTTTCATTCTCATCGTAAAGCAAAAAAAAAGTTGAGGAGAAGCTGCAGCGGGCAGTAAAGCAATTGCATTCATTTAAAGAAAAACTCTTTCTTCTGTCTTCTGCTTTATTTGCTCCATTCTCTCTAAATCGAAGCTTTACTTCATTCAATAATATGTGCAAAACAAAAAAAAAAAACTGGAAGCAGCCAACGTACACATGCAGTCTTATCACATTGATTTTACTTTTTATATGAAAAAATATGTATAATAAAAAATAATTGAATTGAAACTATTGTTGCCGCAATAACAATTAAATCGTATGAAAAAATATACAATAATAAGTAGCATGAGAAGGAGTGCAAGGGGTGATGACTTGGGTTGAATTGAGGATGATTGATTGGTCAATTTTGGAGATTGTGGGGTCAGTTCTGTGGCTGGTAATGTATCACACCAGATACATAATGGGAGCTCAGGCGGTAAAAGCAAAACTAGGCTATGTATTTAAGAAAATTATTCTTACACCCCCCCCCCCCCCCCCCCCTTCAAGGGGACTGTAAAACCAAGGGCGAAGTTAAGGGAAAAATTAAATGGGGAAGGGCAAGGGTGAGGTACTGAGGGGTGAGGAGGGGGTTGATACCGAATACCCTTGATTCCGCTAGTGAGTCAAATTCTTATCAATTTTTTAAAACACTTTTTAAGGTTATGACAAAAAATAAAATCGCTTCTTACAAACAATTCAATTAATCAACATTACACTGAAGAGCGTGTCTATCCCTTGACCAAAAAGAATCAAATAAACCACAAAATGAATGGTCGCAAAAAATTTTCTCATACTTTTTTTTATATATATTTTAACAAACGACTACAAAATCGTGCAAATCGCAGCAGCAGCAGTAGCATTAAATTTGGTTCAAGGGAAATCAATGTGCGACAACATCGGCAATATTATTTGCTTATTGATCACAAACTCTTTTTTTGTGTGCCTTTTGTCATCCACCAATATGAAATATAAAATAAAATAAAATAATAAAAAATTATGATGCAAGATTTTTTTGTGTGATTTTCCCCACTAGCCTGTAACATGTGAGTACACGATCGTATTATTTTTTTTTGCGCGTTCCTTTAAATTTCCAAATAAAGACGACGGCTTTTATTTCCATATTTTATAACATATGATTTCATAATACACCTTATTTAGTTAAAGTATTATTCTCATTGTTCTAATTTACTAAATGCATAAAAAGTCAGTCAATAAGCTTGAAGCTCAAAGTCATTGAAACGTCCAATCAGAGTCAGCTCAATTTTTTTTCTGACGAAATTCTCTCAAACTAGAGTCATTCTAAGAAACACTTTCAAGATCAACAGCAATTAAAACATGTGAAGGTAAACACAGCATAGATGCCACGTCATAATTCAATTCTTAGAAATCGACTCATAATTCTTGGATTTTTTTTTATTTTCGGGTGCTCCCCAATGTACGCAAAAGAGAAGATGTGAAGGAGAAGAGAAGATCGTGTACGATCCCCACCCGATCACACTTCTCCTTCCTTCATCTCTCTCAAAATTCCCCTCAATTTAAGTTCCTCTCTCCGTGTGTGCGTCTCTT